ACTTTTAATCCAGGTTACAATAATCCACACTTTTAATCCAGGTTACACTAGCTACATATTGTGCAGGTATAAAGATACATTTGTATATATTTTTGTGTACATTTATTTGTTAAGCTATTTGACTAACTTTTATTTTTTATTATTCAATATTTTACTAACAGAATAGTCAAATAGCAACCTGTTTTTTGTGCGAATTGCTGTCAGTCAAATGTTCAATTTTGGAATAAAGGGGTGGAAATAAAACGTGTATTTATTTATTTTTCCCGATTCATCTATTAATCAAAAAAGTAATCGGCCAATGAATCGGTTATTGAAATAATCATTAGTTGCAGCCCTACATCAGATTCTACTGCCTTCCCCTTTTTCATTCTTTTCAGAGCTTTCCTGACTTCACCCTCACTAATCTTTCCCACTTCCTGGTCCACAGTTTCTATGACCTCTACTCTTTCTCTTTCATTCTCTTTATTCATTAGCTCCTCAAAGTACTCCTTCCATCTTTCCGTCACACTCTCCTCACTTGTTAGAACATTGCCATTTCTATCTTTAATAAGCCTAACCTGCTGCACATCCTTCCCAGCCTGATCCCCCTGTCTTGCCAATCAGTACAAGTCCTTCTTGCCCTCTTTAGTGTCCAGTCTCCCATACAACTCATCGTACATCCTCTGCTTTGCCTTAGCTATCCAAAAAAGTTCAACCTGGTCCTCTGGACATTCAAAAAAAACTAAAACAAAACAAAGCAAAAAAATCTAGAAACGTTTCGTCTCTCATCCAAGAGACTTCCTCAGTCTGAGGTGCTGTAATGGTGTAATTTTTTTGCTTTGTTTTGTTTTTGTTTTTTTTGAATGTCCAGAGGACCAGATTGAACTTTTTTGGATTTTTCTACCTGGATTATTGAGCATGCATCAGGATATTTGCCTTAGCTACTTCCCTCTTTGTTCTACGTCCCATCTCTTTATATTCTTGTCCCCTCTCTTCAGTCCTCTTACTGTCATATTTCTTCTTGGCTAATCTCTTTCTTTGAACAGCTTCCTGCACTTCACTATTCCACCACCAGGTTTCCTTATCATCCATTCTCTGTCCAGATGACACACCAAGTACCTTCCTACCTGTCTCTAATTACTGTTGCTGTAGTAGCCCAGTCATTTGGAAGCCCTTTCTTACCAGACCCTTTAACAGCTCCTCTTTGAATTTCTCACAACATTCTTCCTTCTTCAGCTTCCACCATTTTGTCTTCTTCTAAGATTTTGCTCTTTTTCTCTTCTTCACAACAACAGTCATTCTACACACAACCATCCGATGCTGTCTGGCCACACTCTCCCCTACCACCACCTTACAGTCTCCAATCTCCCTCAGGTTTCCTCTTCTACATAGAATGTAGTCGACCTGCGTAATCCTTCCTCCACTTTTATAGGTCACTATATATTCCTCCCTCTTTTGGTATTCTGTGTTTATATGTTGTTAATATAAAGATCTAAAAATTAAATTAAACAGGGAGCTCTGGTTCTGCAGCCCACACATCAGACCAGCCCTACAGGAAATCTCCAGACCCTCCCGCAGCCACGCTGGACCTGAGTTTAATTCGCTCGTTTTAATTCCTTAATTTCTCACCTTTTCAGTCATGGCATCAATGGAGGAGTAAGAGATCACTGCCTCTTGGCAAAAGAACAAAACAAAAGAAAAGACCAGATCAGGGATGAAGAAGGGGGATTTAATACATTGGTGTCACATACAAAACAGTCCGTTGACGGGCAGTTTATTGTGTGGCATTGCGTACTCGGTCGTAAAAATTAAGCTTTGCGCGGACATGCCCTGCGTGGTTATGCTCGTACCTTTGCGTACGTACCTTTGCGTACGTACCTTTGCGTACGTACCTTTGCGTTCGTACCTCCGCGTACGAACATACGCGGGAGTATACTGGGGGCTTGAGAGATATGAGAAAACAGTTGCTGGAACGCATGTGAAAAAATTAGGATGGTGGGGGGGGGAAAAATTCCCTGCAGCAAAAAAAAAAAACATGTTCCTCTGGTCAAACAAATGTTACAAAGTGCTTCACATTAATCAATTAAAACATCATAAATGACATCAGACACACAAAAGTATACCAAATCAATTTCAATAACGACATAAAAAAAGAAAGAAATTCAAATATTAAAAGCTTTATTAAACAAGTAAGTTTTAACTAATCATTTAAAAGAAGACAATGAAGAGGTCTGTCTAATAAGTTCAGTCAGCCAATCTTCTCTCAGGTAAGACACTGCCTAATTATGGTGACTCAAGCAGGCTGTGAGGGTCCACCCAGAGCCCTATAAAGAGAGAGTTGCGACACTCCCATAGACTCCCATAGAAAGAATGGAATGCAGAAGTCACGTGGGTCATGCAGTGGTAAATAGTTCCAAACAGCAGCAGTTCCAGCATTGAACGTAGTTCATTGTCCATAGATAATGGCCGCAGCCTCTGAATTGGGCCAGAGCTGGTGGACTTTCCATTTTTCAGGAGGTAGATGTGGTCTGTCCAGAAGTTCATTTGATGTTGATGATCCATTGTTTTACCTCAGAGGTCAAATACTCAGTTATTTAACCTTTGTTTCAGCATGCCTCTGTAGAACTGAAAACCTGGAGTTTCCCGTTTGTAAGTCAATTCCAGTCAAAGTACACAGATTCATTTAGTTTGTTGATTCCCCCACAGCTCTCATCTATGGTGGACTCCCTAAAGACCAAGTTGATCTCTGGTGTCAGCTTCCAGCTGCAGAAGATCAGGTGGGAGGAGGAGAGGAGCAGGAAGCCTGTGGATGAGTGGACACACCTGGCCTCTGCTCTGGCAGGGACCCTTGAAGTCGTCCTGTCTGCTGCCTTTTCTCAGGTACATTGTTTCAACGCAGGGTTAGAGGAGACTAGCGGCAGGATCGCTTTACTTGTGGAAACACTTGAGACCCTGTTGGACCCTACCAGTGGACTCTGTCAGACCCTGTAGCAGCTTTGGTCATTCAGCATGACTCTTCATAAATTAGAACAGCTGATAGCAGATATAAAAACTTTTATTTTTGTTTTGGACCAATATCTACAGTGGTGCTTGAAAGTTTGTAAACCCTTTGTAATTTTCTATATTTCTGCATGAATATGGTCTAAAACATCATCAGATTTTCACACAAGTCCTAAAAGTAGATACAAAGAACCCAGTTAAACAAATGAGACATAAATATTATACTTTGTCATTTATTTATTTAAATGCCAAGATGGCTGCGCTCAGGGCAGCTGCAGCTTCACCAGCTCCCAGTGAGATCCCAGTTTTCAGGAGTTTTGAAACTGACTCTGCATGTGTTAAGCGTGTGAATTATAGCTGAACCGAACTGATGAGGATGAAAGAGGATTTAACACTGAATAAAGCAGCAATCAACAACAACCTTAAAACTATGCTCGGCAGACTGCAACTTTTACGGACATCAGTGTGGAGACAGCAGCGCTCAAATGGAAAGAAGAGGCGCTGTGCCCAAGAGAACAAAAGAGTTTGCCAGGCTGGTGTGTTAGTGAGGCTGAAAACTAATGCTAAGACTGGCAGACTCCCAATAACCTCTCTCTTTCTGTCCAACGTTCGCTCCTTGGATAACAAGATGGATCTGCTTTGACTCAGAGTGGGTTCCTCAGAGGAGACGAGGGAATGTGCGGTACTCTGTCTCACAGAGACATGGCTAAACAGCGACATTCCGGACTCAGTCTTCCAGCTAGACCAGGGGTGGACAAACTTTTGGACTTGCGGGCCAGTCTGAGTTCTAAAATTGGATCGAAGGGCGGGGCCAGGAACAGATGGATGGAGTGTTTGTGTGATGTTACACCCCAGCGCAATAACAGCCGCCAGGACGCTATTAATTATGGGCGATTCCACCTTCTGCACCACTCAAGCAGCCACTAAGTCAGGATTATATGATAGAACAGTGATTTTATTTACAATAGTGAAATTATTGACTTTGTGGAGTCTTACCAACTTCAGGCCCAAAACACTGTATTTTCTCTTACCTGAAGAAAATAAAATTCATCAAACCACAAGTCTCTTACCTCACTATGCTAATGAAATACAGGAGAAAAGTCTAAATAAAGTGACAGCTCACCTCTACAAACTCCTCACAAAACTTTTTACAACTACAGGATCTAAAGTTGACAACAGGTCAGCTGTGGCAGGTTGGGAATGGAAGCAGATGTCATCCTCCTGCAGCTCCTCTATGCAGCATCACAATAGAGTACCTGGACAATAATTCACACGTTTTTGTCTTTCACATTTTTTTTTTTTGATAATTCACACACAATTAACAGTTTCACACACGCACACACAAAGCATGACTTACAGCGATTCCTGATGGATGAAAAATAACATCCTGGTCGGGTTTTCCTTTTTCACTTTATCCTGGATTCTTTTCAGCAGACTGATGAGCTTTCCAGTTAAATTTGGTGATCTGTCCGTTGTGACATTGTCAACTTTACTCCACAGAAGCTTCATTCTCTCATGACAGCAGACGATTATAAAAATCATCTCTCCGTGTTTTTCCTTTCAGAGACTCCAGGGTCAAAAACACCTCCATTATCTCAAAACTGTTGTTAATGCCGCAGATTAAAAATAATAGCAGTGTCCTTTATTACTTTCATCCAATAAACTCTTAACTTAAAGGACTCTCTCTGCCTTTTAGCTTATTTTGCTAGCTAAATCTTCATCAATCAGTTCCACAAGGCGAGTCACAGTCCTGCGTGATAAACTGATTTTTTTCTAACTTATCTTGGCCCTCCGGACACAATAGACCTGCTCTGTTTTTACCATTTTTCTTTCAAAACAATTGCAATCGGAGAAAGGCTTGCTAACATAGTTAGCAGTTAGCAAAGTGTACTCTTTGAAAACCGCAACAGTTTCTTGGCATAAAAACTGCCTTGATTGGACCTCAGTGAAACTATATGTTGTTGTCCACCCCATTTTAAACACTTGGCACTCACTGTGCACTTTTCTTTGCTTTGATAAACACGTTTTTACAGATGAGTTCGTAGGGCAAAGTAAAAATAAAAGCGTAGAGAAGAAATTACAAACCGGATTCCAAAAAAGTTGGGACACTAAACAAATTGTGAATAAAAACTGAATGCAATGATGTGGAGATGGCAAATGTCAATATTTTATTCGTAATATAACATAGATGACAGATCAAAAGTTTAATCTGAGTAAATGTAACATTTTAAAGGAAAAATATGTTGATTCAAAATTTCACAGTGTCAACAAATCCCAAAAAAGTTGGGACAAGTAGCAATAAGTGGCTGGAAAAAGGAAATTGAGCATATAACGAACAGCTGGAAGACCAATTAACACTAATTAGGTCAATTGACAACATGATTGGGTATAAAAAGAGCTTCTCAGAGTGTCAGTGTTTCTCAGAAGCCAAGATGGTAAGAGGATCACCAATTCTACCATTGTTGCGCAGAAAGATAGTGCAACAATACTAGAGTGTTGTTACCCAGCGTAAAATAGCAAAGACTTTTAAGTTATCATCATCAACCGTGCATAACATCATCAAAAGATTCAGAGAATCTGGAACATTTGCTCTGCCTAAGGGTCAAGGCCGTAAAACTACTGGATGCTCATGATCTCCGGGCCCTTAAACGTCACTGCACCTCAAACAAGAATGCCACTGTCAAGGAAATAACAGAATGGGCTCAGGAATACTTCCAGAAAGCATTGTCAGTGAACACAATCCACTGTGCCATCCGCCGTTGCCAGCTGAAACTCTACAGTGCAAAGAGGAAGCCATTTCTAAGCAAGCTCCACAAGCTCAGACATTTGCACTGGGCCAGAGATCATTTAAAATGGAGTGTGGCAAAATGGAAGACTGTTCTGTGATCAGATGAGTCACGATTTGAAGTTCTTTATGGAACACTGGGACGCCATGTCATCCGGACCAGAGAGGACAAAGATAGCCCAAGTGGTTATCAACGCTCTGTTCAGAAGCCTGCATCACTGATGGTATGGGGTTGCATGAGCGCTTGTGGCATGGGAAGCTTGCATGTCTGGAAAGGCACCATTAATGCAGAGAACTATGTTCAGGTTCTAGAACAACATATGCTCCCATCTAGACGTCATCTCTTTCAAGGAAGACCCTGCATTTTTCAACACGATAATGCCAGACCTCATTCTGCAGCAATCACAACATCATGGCTACGTAGGAGAAGGATCTGGGTACTGAAATGACCAGCCTGCAGTCCAGATCTTTCACCTATAGAGAACATTTGGCGCATCATAAAGAGGAAGGTGCGACAAAGAAGGCCCAAGACGATTGAACAGTTAGAGGCCTGTATTAGACATGAATGGGAGAGCATTCCTATTTTTAAACTTGAGAAACTGGTCTCCTCCGTCCCCAGACGTCTGTTGAGTGTTGTAAGAAGAAACTGGACTTGTCCCAACTTTTTTGGGATTTGTTGACGCCATGAAATTTGGAAACAACAGATTTTTCCCTTAAAATGATACAGTCTCTCAGTTTAAACTTTCGATCTGTGATTTGTGTTCTATTCTAAATAAAATATTAGATGTTGGCACCTCCACATCATTGCATTCAGTTTTTATTCACTATTTGTTTAGTGTCCGAACTTTTTTGGAATCTGGTTTGTATATATATGTATATATATATATATACTGTAAAAATGAAAAATGGAGCGTGAAATCGATAGGCGGATAGGTGCAGCATCTGCAGTGAAGCGGGCGCTGTACAGGTCTGTCGTGGTGAAGAGAGAGCTGAGTCAAAAGGCGAAGCTCTCAATTTACCGATCGATCTACGTTCCTACCCTCATCTATGGTCACGAGCTTTGGGTTTTGACCGAAAGATTGAGATCTCGGATACAAGCGGCCGAAATGAGTTTTCTCCGCAGGGTGTCTGGGGTCTCCCTTAGAGACAGGGTGAGAAGCTCGATCATCCGGGAGGGACTCAGAGTAGAGCCGCTGCTTCTCCACATCGAGAGGAGCCAGTTGAGGTGGCTTTGGCATCTGTTTAGGATGCCTTCTGGACGCCTCCCTGGTGAGGTGTTCCGGACACGTCCTGCCAGAAAGAGGCCCAGAGGAAGACCCAGGACATGCTGGAGGGACTATGTTTCTCGGCTGGCCTGGGAATGCCTCGGGATTCCCCCGGAAGAACTGGCCCAAGTGGCTGGGGAGAGGGAAGTCTGGGCCTCCCTACTTAGGCTGCTACCCCCGCAACCCGACCCCGGATAAGCGGAAGAAGATGGATGGATGGATGGATGGATATATACTGTAATTCTCAGACTATAAAGCGCACCTGTGTGTAAGCCGCACATATGATATATAAGAAAAATCATAATTTTGTACATAAAGAAGACGCACCGGCTGTTAAGCCGCGGGTGTCCATTGTACAGTGAATGCCCAGCTCATTATGTTCTTGTTGTAATACAAGAATCAGCCACTTGATGGCATTCACAGATTACGGCTTGCTTTCAACATGCACAAAGCTTGAATGGTGATTCGAAGTATACGTAAAGCTTCAGTATTAGACTCATGCTGACAACCATTATTCCTTCAAAATGAACAAAATACCGGTAAATATCTACTGGTAAGCATAATCCCTGGACATTGAAGTGCCAAACATCTACGTAACTGAAATTATTTAAAAATTGTATACCGGGAAATATTATCCAGAAGTTTTAATAGGGTCATGTGACCAGAAGTGAAATGCCGTAGTACATATAAATGTGGTAAATATTCATTAAATCACTGGTAGTACTACTGATTTTTATTGTTATTCAGTTTTGGTATCAGCTGCTGTTTTTAAATCTACCTTTACTTTCTAAATTATCTTATCAAATAAATTTGACAGGATTTCTCTTCAA